CACCTGCAGCTGTGTCAGGGTGAGTCAGCTGGACTTTTTCAGGATGAAACTTCTCCTTCAGCAGAATTCCCTGGGAAAGCCTGCCAGGTGCAGGAGGATGTGCTGCTGGAAGGCACCCAGAGCTGGGCCAGGCCTTCATCACCTCACCTGGCAGTGGGACCCACAGCAGGGACCCCATCAATCAGCTGTGGGAGGGCTGGGATAAACATTTCCCAGAGGAACAGCCACCCAGGCTGGCATTTGGAGCTGCTTTTATTCATCTACCCTCCAAATTAAAACCTGTGCTGCTTTTCCTGTGTTGGAATCATGGAATCCCAGAATGGTTTGGGTTAAAGGGGACTTGAAGCCCTTCCCATCCCACCCCCTGCCATGGCAGGGACACCTTCCACTGTCCCAGGTGGCTCCAAGCCCTGTCCAGCCTGGCCTGGGACACTTCCAGGGATCCATCCCCACCCTCACAGGGAACAATTCTTTCCCAATATCTAATCTCACCCTACCTCAGCAGCAAAATGCAAATCCAAAGACAAACAGGTCCAGTCAAACCGGGGCTGTGGGCAGCGTTCCCCAGCAGCAGCTGCTGCAAGAAGGTGCCACAAGGCAGCCCCGAGCTGCTCTTCCCGTGCCCCAGGGGCAGGAGAACGGGGGAAATGACCAACAGACCCGCCTGGTTTCATGAGCAGGAGTTTTTCCTTCCATCTCAAATTTTTCCCCATTCCCAGCTGGTTTTGTGGGCCAGAGCTTTTCTTTCCACCCCCAATTTTTCCCCCATTCCCAGCTGGTTTCACAGGACAGAGCTTTTCCTTCTCCCCCATTTTTTTCCCCATTCCAAGTTGGTTTCACAGGCCAGAGCTTTTCTTTCCACCCCCAATTTTTCCCCCATTCCCAGCTGGTTTTGTGGGCCAGAGCTTTTCCTTCTCCCCCAAATTTTTCCCCATTCCCAGCTGATTTCACAAGCCAGAGCTTTTCCTTCTCCCCCAAATTTTTCCCCATCCCAGCGAGTGCTCTGGCTGCAGCTCAGCAGTGAATTCCCAAGGGGGAGGTGATGCCCAACAACTCCAGTGATGCCCACAGGGATGGGCAAGGTGCCAGAGGGCTGGAAGAGGCTGGCACGGAGCTCGGGATGCTCAGAGCGCCCACCAGGATGGACCAACCACCCAAATATTTCTCGCCATAAAGGAGCCAGCCCAGCAAAGGCAGCAAACAGGAGGTTTTCCTGGGCTGAAGGGAAAATCCCCGGCTGGAATCAGGCAGGATCAGGCCCGGGAGGAGGTTCTGGGAAGGATTGGAGCCGGACATGGGATGGCAGCAGCGAGCTGTGGAGGTACCACTGCGGCTGAGCCGGGCTCGCCTTTGTTTTGTGCAAAAAATAGCAAAGTTTGGGCTTATGTCATTCCAAACTTCTCGGAGATGGGGAGGTTCCCTCCAGCTATTTGGTTTTTTTTTTTTTAATTTTCCATACAGCGTCTTTTCCTTTTTCCCTTTACATTTTGCTGATGGTTTCATGACTTTTTTTTTTCTTCTTCTTTTTTTTTGCTTTTTTTTGCTTTTTTTTTTTTTTTTTTGCCATTTGATGACACTCTTCCCCCTTTCCTGGCCGGGCCGAGGGGTTCCTGTGCCCAGCAGGGCACAGCTGGAAAAACCCCAGGAATGCAGAAGCATCTCCCCCAGCAGCTCCCCGGACTTTTCCTCGCCCTAGAACAAAGCACCCCATTGTTCAGGGAAAATGGGAAGGAAAGTGTGATGGAACAGCCCGAGCCAAGCTGGGAGGGTGTTTCTGCAGGAGCTGGGCACCCACAGCCTGGCACAGGGCTCACCCACTGCCTGCCCCTAATTTTGGGTGGCTCTGGACTCATGGGCAGCTTATGTCCCGCAATCCCGATGTTTTCCCATATATCCCGATTTTTGGGATGCAGTGGGTTGGTTGAGCCGAGGTTTCCTTCCTCCCAACTCGCTGGAAATGCCATCCTGGGGTGCAGCTGCTGGCTGGGAATGGGGGCTCCAAAAATAGGCTGGAGGGTTTTGTGTCTGGCTCCCTGGAAACACGCTTTTCTCCTATGGGAAAAATAAAATCAGGATGCCTCTGCTAACAGCTGGGCCTAAAAATGAGTCAGGGATTTGCAGTGGGATGATTAGCAGCACTCTGAAGCGGGGGCTGCACGTCCCTGTGGGATGGGGACATGGGGACACCGAGCGTGTGGCCTTGTCCCCATCGGCCGCCCCGCACGCGTGTGGCCCGTGGCTTTGTTGGGGGACAGGGGGGATTTTTTGGGGCTGTCACTTGGATTAGGAGGAGGAGGAGGAGGGTGAGGGGGATAAAGGTCCTGGCACTCGCCGGGCTCGCAACAAAACAAAGCACCAGATGGTTCCAACTTCAGCATAATAACGCAGAGAAAAAGTGTTTGAAGCGGGGATGGAAAAGCAAATGTGGGAAGAGAGGGAGAAAGGAAAGAAAGAAAAACCCTCAGCAAGTGTCAGAGCAGAAGAAAGCGGCGGAGAAAAATGGCAAATGTTAAAAACCCAAACAAAAAAGCCCTCGGCCAGCACAAAGCCACGGCTGCTGACATCTGTCCAGCAAAGCCTCTCGCCAAGGGCCCCTTCCCTTTGAGTCACCTTGCCTTGCTGCTGTCACCGCAGGGACACGGCCACATCCCTGGCCAGGGCTGTGCTGGGGACACTGTGCCACGTCCCACAGCCACAGCGCTGTCCCCGGGGCAGGTGACATGTGGCAAAGCTATCCCTAAATATTTTATTACAATATTTTATTACAATATTTTATTACAATACTTTTTGGAGCTCTTTCCTCTGTCACCACACACGTCCCAGATGTCCTTGTGTGGTGGCAAACCCACCCGTGGCTCTGCTGTGGGGTTTTAAGGCTGGTTTATGATCTGAGCGAGGTTTATCCAACCCCCTGTGTGAGGCTTTTTTGTGTTCCACTCGCTCCTCCCCACGAAATTTTTTGAACTCACAGACCAGAGCCGCCTTAAAAAAAGGGAAGAAGGCTAAGAAGTCGTATCGCCCCTGGCATTTTCACCAGAAAATAATAATAATAATAATAATAATATAAAATAACCACAAAACAGCAAAATAATCTCATGCAATTGCTCGAGAGCGGATTGCAGCGTGGGTGGAACCCCTTATTAGACATCAGAGAATCCACAAGCCTTGGGGTGGGCGGGTGGCAGCTCCGGCTTCCAGGGCTGGAGTCCTGCTGGGGCCTGTGGCTTGTGTGTCACCACCCCAGGGTTGCCCTGCGAGGTGGCTCCTGGGGAAAAAAAAGGGTCCTTGGTTTTGTGATCCCCCCAAAATCGAGGGGCACGGGTGGGACAGTGCAGAGCACTGGAACGCCTGTGCTGGGGTGGTGGAAGGGGTGGATGCCACAGCACGGCAGCTGTCCTGTCACGGTGACACACACAGAGTTGGGATGTTGTCCCCCAGGCCCAGGGATGGCAGGGAGCCGGGGTGTCATGTCCCCAGGGCAGGGGACAGTGATGTGTTGCTGTGACCTTTCAGCCCAGGTGATGTGCCATTGTTTTTTTGGGACAATGAGGAGCTGCAGGGCCGTGTCCCATGGGGTGCAGGACAGTGTGGAGCCAGGGTGATGCCACCCTGGGGGACAGGACAGCAAGGACACAGTGGTGTCCATTTGGCTTGCGGGAGGATGAGAACCAGGGTGATGTCACCGTGGGGGACAGGATGCTGCGGAGCTGGGGTGATGCCACCCTGGGGTGCAGGACAGAGGGCAGTTGGGTGATGCCACCCATGGAGCCGGGGTGATGCTGCCCTGGAGTGCAGGGAGCCAGGGTGATGTCCCCGTGGGGTGCACAATGATGGGAACTCAGGTGATGTCACCCTGGGGGATGGGACATCTGAGAGCTGGGCTGATGCCACCTTGGGGAGCGCAATGACAGGAACTGTGATGATGCCATTTGGGGGGATGGGACATTGAAGAGCCACTCTGAGGCGTGGGACATTGGGGACCATGGTAGTGCCACCCTAAGGAGCAGGACAGTGGAGAGCTGATGCCACCCAGGGGTGCAGAACAGCAGGGAGATGGGATGATGTCCCCTGGGGTGCAGGGTGATGGGAACCGAGGTGATGCCACCCGGGGGTGCAGAACAGCAGGGAGATGGGATGATGTCCCCTGGGGTGCAGGGTGATGGGAACGGAGGTGATGCCACCCGGGGGTGCAGAACAGCAGGGAGATGGGATGATGTCCCCTGGGGTGCAGGGTGATGGGAACGGAGGTGATGCCACCCGGGGGTGCAGAACAACAGGGAGATGGGATGATGTCCCCTGGGGTGCAGGGTGATGGGAACAGAGGTGATGCCACCCGGGGGTGCAGAACAGCGGGGAGATGGGATGATGTCCCTTGGGGTGCAGGGTGATGGGAACAGAGGTGATGCCACCCGGGGGTGCAGAACAGCAGGGAGATGGGATGATGTCCCCTGGAGTGCAGGGTGATGGGAACGGAGGTGATGCCACCCAGGACCGAGTGTTATACTACCCTGAGGTGCAGCACAACGGGAAGCTGAGGTGACACCCCCCTGTGGGACACGACAGCGACAAGCCGGGGTGCAGAACAGCGGGGACACGCCGGTACCGCGGCAGTGCGGGACACCCCACCAAACCCCTCCCCATTACCGGGGGGCGTTCCGGGGCGGTTCCGCACGCACAAAGGCCGCCGGTCCCCCCGCCCCGGGGCCGTCCCGAAGCACCGGGGCCGCCCCCGAGCCTCGGCCCAATAAACGCGGCCGCATTTGAACGCGGCGCCTCCCCCGGGCCCGCAACGCTCCGAGAGCTCCGCCAGCCCCGCGGGCACCGGTGAGCGGGGACGGGGACGAACGGGAAGGGGAAGGGACATCACCATCACCGAGCCCCGGTGCGGGGCAGCGCTGCCGCCCCGCTCGGTCCCTCCTCCGCGGGCGGTGCCGGGGCCCAGCCCGCCCCTTCCCGGCCCTTCCCGGCCCTTCCCGGCGGGGCCGGCCGCGTGTGCGGGGCCGGCGAGGTGGGTGCCTGGGGGAGAAGGGGGTCCGGAGGGTGGGGGGATGCTGGAGGGATGGGATGCTGGAATTGGGAGGTGATGGGGACTCATGGGCATGGGGTGTCTGTGAGTGGGTGCCACCCCAAGGTCCCCTCACAGGTGCTGGGTGCCCTCCTGCCAAGGGTCCCCATCCCGGCATGCGTCCCCTGGAACGCTGGGAGCGGGTTCTGGACCGCTCTGGCCGGGCTGAGCCCTGGAAGCAGCCGGCTGTGGCTGGAGGAATGAATAACAGCAGTTGTTTTGTCATCGGCAAAGCTCTCGTTGTCACCAGGGTGGCAGACAGCATCTGCTGTCTGGTCACCAACCGCGGGCCCGTCTCCCTTGGAGCATCCCTGTAGGGATGGAGCCGAGAAAAGCCAAAATCCGCAGACTGGGAGCATCATTGCTGGGATTTTACTGGGTGTAAATTTGGGTGTATCCAGCTCATCTTCCTCGTGTGCTTCCCAAACGGAGCTGGGAAGGCTCAGGGCAGGTTGTGGCCGTGATTCAGCAGAGCCCGGTTTTACCGGAGCCGGGAATCACCGAATCCCGCATTTCCCGGTGTGCGGGCATCGCTGCATCCATTACCGGCTCGCTTTGTTTACCTCTGAAATAATCAGCTTTGCGCCTCCACTTTGGGCTTATCGCACCCCGATTTACTGCGGAGCCACTCCAGCCCGATGTGCAAAATCAAACCAGATGGGCGCTTTGTTTTTCCTTACCGAGGGAAGGCTGGGAGTGAAAAGCCCCATTACAATGCAAATACCGGCTTGGCGTGAATATTCAAACCGCTGCGCTGCTTTTGAAGCTCTTTACATAAATTTATGGTGCTTTTAGTACGCCGTCGCTGCTTTGCTAATCTAGAGTGGAGCTTGGTTAAGAGGATCGCTGCTTTCTGCCAACTTTTGGGGGTCTGGGGGTGTTTTTGGGGTGCACGGAGAAAGGTGGCATTGAGGTGCAAAAGGGAAATTATGAGGAGGATCAGCTGTAAGGCTGACTCTGGTGGTGACCCTGGAAGAGCTGGGTGTGCTGTCAAGTGATTTACTGACATTAAGGTGCTTATTGTCCTTTTGGGTTTTGTTTTTCCCTTTGGTTTCTCGGTGTGACCCTTTGTGGGGCTGCTGCTCCAAGAGGGGATGGAGTGTTGCTGAGCTGGAAATTGCCCTGACTCGGTGTGGGGATTTTGGGGTGGACACAGGGACAGGGCACGGAGCTCTCCTCTCTGGTGACCAGTGACAGGACCCAGGGAATGTCTGGAGCTGTGTCAGGTTTAGGTTGGATTTCAGGAAAGGTTTCTCCCCCAGAGGGTGCTGGCACTGCCCAGGCTCCCCAGGGAATGGATGGTGACATTCCCGAGGCTGCCAGAGCTCCAGGAGCATTTGGACAGCACTCCTAGGGATGCCCAGGGTGGGATTGTTGGGGGGTCTGTGCAGGGCCAGGAGCTGCACTGGGTGATCCCTGTGGATCCCTTCCAGCTCAGGGAATTCTGTGATTCAGCAGAGCTGCTGTGATGGATGAGATGGTTCATTAGGGAAGGAGATAATGAGTGTGAGACAACCTCAGCTCTGGCTTTCCCAGCACAGTCTGGGTTTGGTGGTTGCTGGGCATCTCATACAACTCCCAGCATTAAAACCTGGAGTCCTGGTGGGTTTTTTGCCAGCTGTGTTCACATCACCCAGGTTGTCACAGGTGCAGTGGGAAGGGAAAGTTGCTTTAAAGTTGTTTTAAAGTTGCTTTAAAGTGCCCGAGTGTGGCCGTGCTCTCCAGCACAGGGGGGACACTCAGAGCAGTGACACCCCATTGAGTAGGTGCTTGTGTTCTCGAGTTGGCCACAGGATGCTGCCTCGCTGGGTAATTACTGCTAATTACCAGGCCCTTATTTGAGTCGAGGCAATCAAGAGGAGCAGTAAAAAAAAAAGTTTTCCTCGCTGTCCCTTGGAGGTGATGACTTTAGTGGAGGGCAGGTTGGGATAAGGGTAAGGTACCCATAGCTCTGATTAGTGATGCAGCCCATGGGGACATTTTGGGCAGAGCATCCCCAAAATCTCCCTCTTGTGCAGCAGCAAATGTGATTTGTGTTGTCCTAGTGGAAGGTGTCCCTGCCTGTGCCTGAGGGTTGGCATGAAGTGGCCTTTAAGGTCCCTTCCAACTGAAGTAACTCTGGGATTCTGTAATTCATACTGTTTTAAAAAATCACCATGCTCCCCCCAAAAAAAGTAATTGTGCTAATTGTGGTGGTTTTCCTTGCTGATGCCATTGATTGACCAATCTGTGCCTTCATTAGCTCCAGGTTAAAGTTGATATCGATTCCAGGCACTTAAATATGCAAAGTGGTAATCACTGTTTAAGCCTGTATTGTTTGAGTTAAATTTAGCTGAGAATTTAGTCCTATCAGGCCCTTACATTGTGTGTGGTGAAGGTTATCTGGCTCTCAGGAGGGGGTGGATTTAAAAGCAGGAAAGAAATGCCGGTGAAAACTTCCTCTTCTCATCATCCCGGAGCGCTTTGCTTCCCCGGGCTGGTAATAAGGAGAACAGAAATAAGGAATAATGTGGTGCTTGAAACAACACAGAAGGGCAGCAATAAATCTGAATAAAGTGATGCCCTGTGCAGTGACCATCCCCTCTCCTCCTGCCGGGGGACTGGGGAGCCCCTGCTCAGCTGCTGCCTGCCTGCCCCTATTATCCTGGCTGCCCTCCTGCATCTCAGCTGCTGGCCCATCTGGAGCAGAGATGAAAGGCTGCCTTTAATTCGTGCTTTGTGTGCCTCTGGTGGGTCCCCATCCCCGTCAGGGCTGCTGGAGGTGCCTCTGATGCTGCTGACCTCATTCTTTTGAGTGCTGGCTGATGCCAGGCGGCCTGGCCAGCTCCTCAGGTAGGAGAGAGGAGGCTTGGGTGGCTTTTTCCCCGTGCTGTGGGAGTGCTGCTGAATAATTCAGGCAGGAGGAGGCATCTTGGGTCACCTTGCGCAGCAGCAGCGTGCCGGAGCCGCCTGCCTAAGATGGAGGTTGTGCAGGATTGCGGGATCGCCGGGCTGCCCGCGGCTCCCCGCGCCTCTGACTGCAGGTGGGCACCAGCCTTGGCATCCCCGCTCCCTCCTGGGCAAATCCCTCCCCAGCCTGTGTCCCTCTGAGCTCTCTGGCTGTGGGATGTGCAAGGCTGGCCAAAAACTCACCTGGGTTGTCAGGCAGGTGTGGCCCTGATGCTCTCCTCCTTTAGGGGATTGGGGTTTTCTTGCTGGTTTTGTGGGGTCCCCAGTGCTGGGTTTGCCCACGGTGAGTTTTTGGGCTCTGTGCTGTTGTGGATATACTGGGAGGTGGCACTTAGCTCTCTGCACTAACTGGGAGAACTGGTTCTGGCAGTGTGGCAGTAGGGGCAGCTGCTGGAGACATCTCTGAAGGGGCAGGAGGTGGCTGACCCTGAAGATAAGAGGTTCAGAAATGCTTGGGAAGCTCTGTGGGTTGGAGTCATCTCTGCTGGAGGCTGGGCTGTGAGTTTTGGGGCCGCTGGAATGTGCAGGCAGGGCTCCCTGACACCAGGATCCAGCCACCCTGGAGCCCTGTGGGTGCAGCTGGGAAATGGGGTTGCTGCTGTGGGAATGGGAACGAGTTTGTTGCCTTCCTCCTGCTCGCAGGCACCGGAGTTTTTGGGTGCTGCCTCCTCCTCTGTGCCCCAGGTGGAATGTGTCTGTGCCTCCCTCCTCCCCCCAGCGTTTGTGTGCTGTGAGAAATCAGCTCAAGAGGGATTTGGGGGGGAAAAATAGGACAGGGAGGGTGTGAGGCTCAAGTGGAGGGGTTGTGTCCATCCCTGGAGTGACCACAGCCATCCCTGCCCGTGGCAGTGCAGGAGGAAGGACGGCTTGGCTGGGCTGTCTGTCACCAGATGTGGCATCCAGAGGATGCTCTGCCCTGGCATCTGCTCCTGCAGCCAGGGAAATCAAGGACACGGCTGCTGCAGTGCCTGCCCTGGAGATTTCCTGCCTGGGCTGTGCAATTGGAGCAGCTCTGGCGTGTCCAGGGGTGCTGCTGGTGGCACAGGGAGCCACAAGAACCGAGGAGCAGAGGGGGAGGTTTGGGGTAGGACCCCGTGTTTTGGGAAATGTGGCTGACACAGCCTGCAGCAGTCACAAAAACACAATTCCCATGGCTGGCCAAGCATCCTGGGATGCCCAGTTGGGTCCTTGGGACACCAGGTCCCTGCAGTGCTCATTGTCACCCAGGCAGGGTGACAGTGCCTGTTGTGCCCCCAGGGTGGTGGCACTGGGTGACAAAGCCAGGCTGAACAAACAGCTCCAGCCAAATCCTTCATTTCAGACAGGAAATTTCCCTCTCCCCCCCCTGCCAGAGCAGCTCCTGGGGCTGTGATCCTCTGTTAGCAATGGATGAGGGGGTGGAAACTTCACTTGGAGGGGAGGATGAAGCCTTGAGGCAAATTGTGTGCCTGGTGCAGGACACCAGGTATATTTTGGCTGTCCCCACGCTGCTCTGGGTTTGCTGCCTGTCAAACCCTTCCCTGTCTTCAGCCAGGGCTTGACCTGACACACCTGAGGGGGAGCAGCACAGGGAGCTCTGGGCAGCTGGGCTTGATCTTGGGAGGTTTTTTCCCAACCTAAAGCATTCCATGGTCCCAGCTGTGTTGCAGTGGGGGTTTGTTGTGCTTGTGGAGGGGGTGGCTGCCCTGGAGGGTTTGGGTTGGGGTCTCCTGCCCTCCCCTCTTCAGGCAGAGCCCCACACTTCACTCCCTGCAGCTGCTGAGCTCTTGTTGGGTTGTTTATCTTCTCACCTGCAGCACCTGGGGCTCACTGGAGCTCAGGGGAGCAATTTTCCACTGCAGCACCTCAGCTGCTGCAGCTGAGCCATGACAGGAGGCAGCGTGAGGTGACACGCAGGGACAGGGATGTGCCACCTGGGCTGTCCCCAGGTGGGTTTGGCTCTGCAGGCTCTTTCTGCTCTGTGACTTCTTCCCCCAGTGGGATGGGAGAGGCTGGAGCAGTGGTGGAGCATTCATGTAAATACAGCCCCAAACAGCCTGGTGGCCAGCTGCTGTGGCAGCCCTTGGGGTTTTTTTTGCTGTCCCATGCCACCCATGGTGACCTGGCCCATCTCTTCCTGCAGGTGAGCGTGGCAGGCTATGGGATGGATGAAGCTGAGCAGGACCAGTATGAAGCTCGCCTCAAGGAGCTGTTTGACAGCTTTGACAGCACGGGCACGGGGTCCCTGGGGCAGGAGGAGCTCACTGACCTCTGCCACATGCTGCACCTGGAGGAGGTGGCCCCGGCACTGCAGCAGACCCTCCTGCAAGGAAACCTCCTAGGCAGGGTAAGGAGCTGGGGGGATGGAGGGGGCAGCAGCTGCATGCATGGAATGCTCTTGGGATGAGGCTGATGTCTGTGGTTTGGGTGTATCCAACGTTTCTGGTGCTACAAGACTGGGGTGGGCACAGGGCACCTTCCAAGAGCAGGGTTGGTGATAACAGGGGAGAGAACTGCTCTGTCTGCCCTGCCTGGAGGTGCTCTGAGACTCAGGAACTGTCGGAATCTGTGGGTATTGGTGATTCCAAGATTGTAAAAGTCTCTGTCTGTCAGCCCCGTTGCCAAAGAAGAAGCCATAATTGGTCTGTGCTGTTTTCAAGGTTGTTTATTCTGTTTATCTCTAACATGTTCTGCTGCCCTGCCGCAGCTCTGTCCTGCAGGGCAGCGTGTGGGGCTCTGCCCTCAGTGGGATGGTACAAACATTAAATACCACAAACTACCTGTGCTGGATTTACAATAACGGGCCAATATCTGTCACCTACGTTGGACAGTGTGTCCCCAGCCTGAACCAACAGAAAAATGCCAACACCACAGTGAAACATGGAGGGCATGAAGAAGGAGGAAAAGGACAAGACACACCCAATTCCTCCATCTTGTCCCCTCTGAACCCCTAATCTAGAAACCTAAAATTTTACTTTTGCACCCGTGTCACACTTAATTATTACTCTTATCAAACACTCAAAGCTTGTAATTCATCCTGTAAGATTGAAAACTCTTTTCCATGGACAGAGGTCACAGCCAGTGTCTCTGGGGGCTCTGTCCAGGGGGGTTCCTGACCCCTGCCAGGGTCCCAGACCTGCCAGGGCAGCCAGAGGGAAGCCCTGGATTCCCACAAGGAACCAGCACTTCAGGCTGAGCCTTGTGCACTGCTGTGCTTGCCCAGTGTCTGAGGCCAGAGCAGGTGCCAGGTCCTGGCTGTCCCTGTGCTGGCGTTGGGCTCACGCTGTGCCCGTGCCCCCAGCACCGGCTCCTGCTGCTCCTGGCCTGGGTCACCTCCCCAGACCAGCTCACCAGGTGCTTAGACAAACTCTGAGCCACTTTGTCCCATCCCAAGACATAAATCCAGGGCTTGAGCCTGTGATTACACTGGCTTAAGCTGTAGTTAGACTGGCAGAGCCATGTGCAGTGTTTCTCTAAGGTAGGGAATATTGTCCCACACTGTCTGAGCCACCTCTGTGCACACTTCCTGGTGTTGGTGGCTTCCCAAAGCCATTTTTCAGTGTGGTTTTACCTTTCTGGAGCTAAATCCCGGGCACTGAGCAGAAGCTGCTTGCCCTTGAGGGGATCTCCACGTTCAGCTGGATGTCCTTGTGTTCTGCATTACGTCTTTCCCGGCACGCCGTGCCCGGAGTGCATTAGATCCTTCCCTGGAAATAACCCTGAAATCCCATCACTGCTCATTAAAATCAGAAAAATGGAACAGGGCAGCCAGGGCTTTCAACTGTCAGGCAGCCATCCCAACTCCAATTTCCAGTCAAACTGCAGTTTTCACAAACAAAATAATTCCTTTAGCGATCAAAGGAATTTTTCCTTTTCCCTCCTCTTCCTCACCTGCCCTGGGGCCGTAGCTCTTCTGCTGACAGTGAGTGCAGGGATGGAGCTGGGATGGATCCAGGTGGAGGTTGTTGACCTTTAGAGCTGCAGTGTGGCATTTTCTGGGGCACCAGAGACTTTCTGTGCTGCTCCGTTGTCTTGAGCACCTGGCACTTGGATGCTGTCATCAAAGAATCCCAGAATGGTTTGGGTTGGAAAAACCTTAAGGATGATCTTGTTCCAGCCCCCTGCCATGGCAGGGACACCTTCCACTATCCCAGGTTGCTCCAAGCCCATCCAGCCTGGCCTTGGGCACTTCAGGGATCCAGGAGCAGCCACAGCTTCTCTGGGCACCTGTGCCAGGGCCTCACCACCTTCCCAGCCAAGAATTCCGTCCCAATATTGAATTTAAATCTATTTTCCTTCAGCTTAGAGCCAATTCCCTTTGTCTTATCACCTGGCTTTGCCACTTGTGGGATGGTGGTGTAGAGAGGAAGGGCAGGTGTGGCTGTCACAGCTGGTCAGGGCACCAAAACCCCCTGTGAAAACATCCTGAGTGCCAGGTCACACTCACCCCATGCCAGCCCTGAGCTCCATCCCATTTTATTTCCTTGCCCCTTTGTCTCTGGGGATGGTTCTCCCTTCCAACCTGCCACAGAGCCTCAGGACTATCTCTGTCCCCTGCCTCTGCTCCCTGCCCCTTAGCAGCAGCAATGGCCCACGAGGCAGATTTAAATTTAATGGCTCTCCTTGGGGTTTCCTAGGATCTGATGGGGGGAATATCAGCAGGCACGGAGCTGCCTGAGCACAGACTTGTTGCACCTGCCCCTCCTGCTGCAGATGGCCCCAGCCTTTGTCTGCCTGCACTTCCAGGGGCTGGGATTTATGGCAGGGCACCGGGGAGGGGGGCAGCGGGGGAAGGTTTTGTCTGCTCAGGGGCACCTCTGTGGGGCCACGTGCTTGTCTTTGTGCTGGGGGCTCTGCTCCAGGGATGAATGGATGCTTTGGGATTGTAAAACTGTGGGATGGTTTGGGTTGGAAACTTAAAGATCACCTCCTTCCAGCCCCCTGCCCTGGGTAAGGAGTGGGAGCTGAGCTGGCATCCAGAGAGGGGCTGGAGCTGCTGCCTGCCCTGTGATGGTTTGGGGATGAGTGGGGTCTGGTGTGGGGTGTAAATCCCACGAGCAAGACTCGTGGCAGAGCCAAGCCCCTGTGGAAGTGTTTTCCTCACACACTGTGTGCAGAGGGGATGCTCACAGCAGTTCTGGGATTGCTCAGGAGGGCTCTTTGCCCTCACCCTTGATGGCAGGAGTGAGGAGTGAGCGTGTGGCTGTGCCTGTCTGCCCTCTCTGTGTCCTTTAATCAGCAGCAGGCCAGAGGTGTCTTGGGGACAGTGCTCGTGGGTGATGTGCAGGGATGGGGACGAGCCCTGGAAGTCATTCCCATCCCTGGAAGTGCCCAAGGCCAGGTTGGCCAGGGCTTGGAGCACCCTGGGATAGTGGAAGGTGTCCCTGCCCATGGCAGGCAGAGGGATGAGATGAGCTTTAAGGTCCTTTCCAACCCAAATCCTCCTGGGATTCTGTGAAGTTGGGCACCTCTGGGCCCTGTGCAGGGCCTGTCCTTGGAGCCGCCCTTGGGCAGGGATGGGGAGCTCAGGTTTCACCTGCAGCGCTGCATTCACAGCCTGCAGCAAGGACACCCAGGCTGGGTTTCACTCCCAGCTCCCTCCAGTGCAAAATATCCTCCCCCTGTGCCCGCAGGGATCCCACTCCCCTGGCTGCACTGGGGCTGTGTCGGAATTTGGGGTATTGATGATTCCCAGATTGTAAAAGTCTCTGTCTGTCAGCCCCGCTGCCAAAGCAGAAGCCATAATTGGTCTGTGCTGGTTTCAAGGTTGTTTATTCTGTTTATCTCTAACATGTTCTGCTGCCCTGCCGCAGCTCTGCCCTGCAGGGCAGCGTGTGGGGCTCTGCCCTCAGTGGGATGGTACAAACATTAAATACCACAAACTACCTGTGCTGGATTTACAATAACGTGCCAATGTCTGTCACCTACGTTGGACAGTGTGTCCCCAGCCTGAACCAACAGAAAAATGCCAACACCACAGTGAAACATGGAGGGCATGAAGAAGGAGAAAAAGGACAAGGCACACCCAATTTCCTCCATCTTGTCCCCTCTGAACCCCTAATCTAGAATCCTAAAATTTTACTTTTGCACCCATGCCACACTTAATTATTACTCATATCAAACACTCAGAGCTTGTAATTCATCCTGTAGGGTTGAAAACTCGCCAGGGTCCCAGGGCAGCCAGAGGGAAGCTCTGGATTCCCACATGGGTGGAGGCCTGTGTGGGAACCCCGGCCTGGGTCAGGGGCTCCGTGTGGTGGAAAAGTCTCTCCTCCAACTTTGAGCTTTCAAAGAAAACTCAGCAGTCTCTGTTGTTTGGTCTCAAGGCAGTTTATTGCAAGTTATCTAAAAGATTTTCTTCTGGGGCTGCTGTGGTTTGCTCACAGCTCAGGCAGAGGCACACACACACCCTGACATCCTCTCTGACTCCCGACTGCTTCTTCTCTCCCCCTCTGCCCAGGGCTGCTGCTGTCTTTTATATGGTACATTATGTGTTACATGGGTACAGTTTTTCCCCAATGCCTATTACCTATATTAAATGGTGCCTTTCTACTCTAAACCAATTGTGAGTGCCAACATCACCAAAAACATGGAGGGAAGGAAGAAGAAATAGGAGGAACAGGACAGGCCCAAATTCCTCCATCTTAAAACCTCTGACCCCCATGTACAAAGTAAAAACCCCCCTGTACAATACTAAAAAATTCTTCCCTCTACTTTTTAACTACTTCTACTTTAATATCTAAATTCTGTGACTTCTTGTTCTTCCTGCAAAGTTGGTAAATCGTTCCATGGCTCAAACCCAAAATCACAGCTGTTTCCAGCTGCCTGCCAGGGTCTCAAATGCTTCTGACCAGGACCTGGAACCTCCAAAAATGTCTGAGGGACGTTTTGAGTTCCAACATCCTGGGGGCAAGGCTGCAGGATTGCCTTGTTGGGACCTCAGGGAACGGCTGGAGCTGGGCCAGGGGAGGTTTGGGTGGGAATCAGGACAGGTTCTTCCTCCAGAGGTGCTGGGCATTCCCCAGGGAATGGATGGTGACATTCCCAAGGCTGCCAGAGCTGCAGGAGCCTTTGGACAACATGCCCAGGGTGGGATTGTTGGGGGCTCAGGAGCTGTATTGGCTCATCCCTGTGGTGCTGATCTGGCTGTGGGGTTTGCAGGGCACCCAGGATGCTCCGAGCTCCATCCAGCCTCACCTTGGGCACTTCCAGGGATCCAGGGGCAGCCACAGCACATTGTGCATCACCTTCCCAATCCCCATTTCCTTCTGGCTGGTTGGGATCTGCCCCAAATTGCTGAGAGACCCCCGTGAGCAGATACGCAGATGAGCAATACCAAACCAGAACTGTAGTATCAGAGTGGTTTGGGTTGGAAGGGACCTTAAAGCCCATTTTGTTCTACCCCTGCCCTGGGCAGGGACACCTCCAGGGATGGGGCACCTGTGCCAGGGCTCCCCAGCCTTGCAGGAGGATTTTTGCAGCGTTTGTGGCTTTGCTGTCCCGTGGCTGCCTTGCCTGGCTTGTGCTCCAGCCCAGCTCTAATTTTATCAGTGCTGTTTCTCTATCTCTGCAAGCTCTCTCTGCCTGCAGACACGCCACATCCAAGGTCAGAGGTGCACCACAGATTGGTTTTGCTGGTTAGCTGGTGTCAGGAAAACCCCTGGCCCACCTTGAGGAAAAATCTCCCCATTTTGCCAGCTAGGACTCCACCTCCAGAGTGAGGAGGGCGCTGGGGAAGCCCCTGTGGCTGTCCCTGTGCTGCTGATTTGCATTTGAAATCCTGCTGTGCAGCACAGGAGGATGGTCACATCCTGCTCCACAGCCTGATCTTCCACAGGCTCCTGTGGATGTTGTGGTCATGGTAAAATCACAATATCACCATGGGGCCAGTGGTCACATTGTGATTTTATTAGACCCCAGTGGCTAATTAGGCACCAGCTCTGGAGTGGGTTTTACTGAGCCCATGCTTTGCCAAGGGCTGTAGGGAGCAGGGAGGGCTCAACCTATTTTATTTTTCTCTTTTTCCCCCTTTTCTGGTGATTTGTCAGCCACACAATAGTGAGGGTCTGAGCAGCAGCACCTCGCCCTGCTCTTGGTGGGAGGAGTGGGTAGCAGGGCATCCCCTGCTCTGTTCAGGGGGATATTTGGCATTTTTGGGGATAAACAGCACACAGGGCTGGCTCATGGGTGTGGCAGCACATTTCTCTCCCTCTCAAGATTTTTCATAGAGGTGCACAGAGAGAAATGAAAGAGAAAACAATTTCTATTTCTGCTCCTTGTTTTTCCTGTGTAAAATGTGCATGGAAGATTGTTTCCCTGGGGTGATTGCTTGGTTGGATTCTGGTGAGGATTGTTTGAGCTGATGGCCAATCCAACCCACCTGGGGCTGGGCTCTCAGAGAGGGGCACGAGTTGTGTGGGAGTTAGAGATAGAGAAAGTAGTATGTAGTTTTAGTATTCTCCTTTTATATAGTATATTAATATATTTTAACATAGCTATAATAAAAAAAAAATAATTCAGCCTTCTGAATTAAGTCAGACATCATCATTTCTTCCCATTAGGTTCACCAACATTTACAATAATGGGCATCTGCTTCAGTGAGAGGTTTGATTTTGGCCCCTCCTTGGAGCTCCTCCTGCGCCTCTGAAAGCACAAGGGGCTTGAGCAGCTCTAAGGTTGGACTTGATGACTTTGGAGGTCTTTTCCAACCTTAATATTCTCTAACCCTTCCTCCTCAGTGCTGGCTGGGAGTGAGAAGCTGTTCAGCTCAGCAGTGAATTTTCTGTGTTCAGGAACCATGGATGGCTGCTTCTGTCCTTGTGCAGCTGAGCAAGGGCTCAGCTCCTCCTCCTCATTAGTGCAGGCAGGAGTTATGGGGCTCCTTGTGCAGAGCAGGTGATGTCAGTGGTGCTGCACACCTGCCCGGGTGGTTTGGCTTTATTTAATTCCATGTGGTTGCATGAGGGATGCAAAGTGGATCTTGTTTTCTTCTGAGGTGCCAGCCCCAGCACCCATCCATTGATTCCTGAGAGCATCCCATGGGGAGGAACCTGTAATTTGAACACCCTCATCTTTTATTCATCCTCATTTAGTCTAAATGTCAAGTTTTTTTTTCTTTTTTTTTCTTTTAATCGGAGAAATTCTCCTGTCTCTGTAAACTGGCCTTTTTGAAGTACACCAGTGTCTGGAAATGGATGGCAGCAATTAGTATTCAGATGAAGGAATTCCTGATGAGCTTCTGTGCTGAACATATTTTTTAATTGTGTTTAAAAAAATACATTTAAAAGTGTTTAAAGCCTCAGGGGTGATTGGCACTGCCTGAGCTGTGGCATGAGGTGCTCCCCTGTACCTCCATGGCTCACCTGTGTCCCTCCCTACCAGGGAGCTTGCTGGTATTTTTCTGAGCTTATTTGACCTCCCAAAAACAGGCTGGAGACCTTCAGACCTGAACTTTGCTGTTTGTGCCTCCTCCAGCAGCATGAAAATCCCTTTGACTGCAGCTCTGCCTTCACCCTCTGCCAGCCAGAGCAGCCTTGCTGGGTTTTTTTAAAACACAAAATCTTTTTGTTCCATGCTAAAAATTCTCCCAAGATTTATTTAGCCAAGAGAAATGGTTGCAGCCAGCTCTGCCTGGCTACTGACCCATGTCAAATAGCTTCTCCAGCTGTCCCTGGGTCTGTGTCCCAAGGCTGGAATTGCTGACATTCCCCAGCAGGCTGGGGAGGATGCTGCAGCCTCCCTGGCTGTGTCTGGCTGGGAGGCAGGAGGCTTTCCAGGAAGGCACAGATGGGAAAAAAAATAAATAAAAAAAAGGAGGAAAAAAAATCCTCAGTGGAAGGATCATCTCTGTTTTTCCCAGCTTGACTCCAGGCTTGGTATTCCTAGCTCAGCCCTCACAGAAGTACAGGAGCTGCCCAGGAAAGTGAGGGATTTTTCTGCCATCCACATTGGGAAGGGGTTTTTGAGGCTGAATTAGGGCAGTGGAGCATTTCCACAAGGGAGTGTTCATTCATCCCTGAGCAGGAATGGTCTCCTTGGAGAAGCCACCAACCCTGGCCAGGTCACCTCCAGGGATGGAGATGCTCCCTGCTCCCTTTTGTTGGAATTTGTGGGTATTGGTGATTTTGAGATTGTAGAAAGTTTTTGGTTTTTTGCTTTGTTGCTAAAGAAGAAGCTATAATTTGTTTGTGTTGTTTTTAAGGTTGTTTATTTTTGTTTATTTATAACATGTTCTGCTGCCCTGCCGTAGGTTTGTTTTGCAGGGCAGCGTGTGGGGCTCTGTTCTTTAGTGGGATGGTATAAACATTATATATTAGAAACTATGTGTACTATATTTATAATAATGTGCTAATATTTATTATTTATGTTAAATAGTGTGGTTTTAGCTTAAACTAATAGAAAAATGCTAATACTATAGTGAAACATGGAGGGCATGAAGAAGGAGGAAAAGGATAAGATACATTTAATTTTTTTATTTTGTTTCCTCTGAACCCCTAATCTAGAAACCTAAAATTTTACTTTTGCACCCATACCACACTTAATTATTACTCATATCAAACACTCAAAGCTTGTAATTCATCCTATAAAATTAAAAACTCCTCTCCATGGACAGAGATCACAGCCAGTGTCTCTGGGGGCTCTGTCCAGGGGGGTTCCTAACCCCTGCCAGGGTCCCAGACCTGCCAGGGCAGCCAGAAAAAAGCCCTAAATTCCCACACCTTATTTCTGCCTTCCTGCTCGATGGAAAAAAACCCTGGAATCTGGAATCTGTGCCTTTGGGTCCTTCTGTGGTAGCAAGAATTGTTCCCACGTGCCCAGAGGTGCTGGCTGTGTCTGCATGTCCCTTGCTGTCACTTGTCCAGGGTTCCTTGGTATTGGCACAGGGGTGATTCCCACTGCTGCCCATCTTCCTGCTGGATTTTGGCCTCATATTTAACTCCCTGCACCACCTGATTGCTTCTTTCCTTCCTTTTTTTATTTTTTTAATTTTTTTTACACAGGTCCACTTTGATCAGTTTAAAGAAGCACTTATCCTCATCTTATCCAGAACCCTGTCAAATGAAGAGCACTTCCAAGAACCAGGTAAATACTGAAATCAGCTAAAATAGTACATTTTCATTGGCAAAGCAGCTCTGGGTGGCTCTCACAGAAGAACTTAGAAGAGAAAGTGCTTTTTAGGTGCTGCCATCCAAGCAGAAAAGGCTGATCCTGGGAGAAAAGGTGTTGTAGTTTTTATAGAGATGGGGTAATTGAGAGGTTTAATATAAGATTGAGAAAACTAAAATTGTTTTTTTTTTATTATTTATATTAATTTTTTAATATTTAAATTTATATTTTAATTCTTTATTTATAAAAATAAAAGATGCTACTTTATTACTAGTTTTGATGAAGGGTGAGAAATGGATTCTTTACAAAAAGGGAGCTGAGCTTTGTTGTGGAACCTTGTACACGGGTGTTTTCAGAGCCATTGGGCATTTCTATGCCATTCCCATGATCTGGGTGCCCAGAGAGGCCCGGGCAGCTGCACCACCCTCCAGATGCTCAGCATGGCTCAGCTCTCCTCATCCCACACCACTCCTGGTGGCCAGGGATGCTTTAGGAGTTATGGCCAGGCAGATAAATGCTGATTTTCTGCTGCTGCTGGGGGTTTTTCCCAGCTGGGGCTGGTGTTGGTTTAATGTTGTGGTTTTTTTTTTTGAATTTGTTCTGTTTCCTTATGTCTGAGATGGGTGGGGTGTAGGAAGCTCCTCTGGGTTTCTCCCAGAAAACACTCAGGCTGCTCCAGAGGTGTTCCTGAACAAGTGAAGCTCCAGGATTGAAGATTCCAGGATGGTTTGGGTGGGAAGAGATGAGTTCCACCCCCTACCATGGGCAGGGACACCTTCCACCATCCCAGGCTGCTCCAGGTCCCATCCAACCTGGCCTTGGACACTTCCAGGGGCTCTGCTATGAGTCCTGAGTGTTTTCTTTGCTTTGTTTCAGTGTGCCTTGAAAATGGGGCATTTTTAGGCTTTCCTTGGCAGGAATTATGGTTTCAGCTTCACCGTTTTCCCCCCTGCACCAGGGCCTGGGAGCTGTGGGGTGGTGCTGAGGGCTGAGCCCTGCAGCTCCAGCTGGTGCCACACCTGTATGTAAATCCCTAATCCTGTCCCTGGAGCAGCAGGAGAGCCAAATCCCCCAAGGAGAAAACAGCTTAGCAAAAGGAGAGAGAGAATTTTCCAGGTTTCCTCTCCTCAGCTGGAGCATCCCACTCTGGAGAGAGCAGCCTGCCAGCAAAATGACAACTTTCCCCTTTCAATAGGATGCAAAAACCACAGGATTGGAGAGGTGTGATTGATGGATTATTTTTATTTTCCACCTCTCATTTGCAAAGCTCTTTAATGCTTCGAGAGGGGTGGTGGCAGCTCTTGTAGCCAGCATTCCTTAATGGAATTTGCAAGTGCAGGTCAGTGGGTGCTCAGGGGGGAGCATCTCTTCCATCCCCTTGGGAAGGAGCTGGCACAGAGCAGGAATCAACCCCAGTGAGGCAGAACTAATCCAGCACTCTGCATTTATTGGGGTATCATATGGCTGAGAAGCTCCAGCTTGATTGAAATGTAAATAAATCTTCCAGAAACAGCTAAATTTGGGGTTATCACAGGGGAAATGACAAGTGAAGCTGGAGAGCCCTCCTTGGGGACTCTCCTGTCAGAGTGGGGTTGGAATGGCAGGAAATCAAAGGCTGTGGGGTACAGGTAGGGAGCCAGAGCTAGGCAGGCCTGGGAGGCATTTTATTTTTAATGCATTTTGACAGGTTGGTTAAAGCCACAGTCTTTGCTTCTTTTAATTTAGATCAAACTGGAGATTTGGAGAACAAGCTGCTTTGTGCTGTTGGTGTCAGACTGTCAGGGAGTGTGGAAATGCTGGTGTTCCAGCCTGCCCCAGGCTAGGGAAAAAATTGAGTTAAGAGCTCTAAATCGTATCATTTAAATGAAAATTTAATTTGGGGGGGATTGGAGGAGGAGGGGGGGGGAGAAGCAGAGATTTTTTAAGGCTGTTTGGAACATCTGGGGAGTTTGCTGTGGAAGGAAGTGGCTGTGGTGGTTTTCTCCAGGGATTTGGGTGGTGGGAGGGTCAGTGGGGAGCACTGGGGGCTTTGTGGTGTCAAGGGGATGGCACGTCCTTGTCCCCAAGGGTGCTGTCAGCTCAGGGAGGAGGAGTGGGCACAATGAGGGTGACAGGAAGGACATGAGGACACAGAGGGATGCAACCCCTCAGCTGTGAGGAAAAGCTCAGAAATTTGGGGTTTTTTTTAGACTGGAGAAGCTTTGGGGACACCATACAGGCTTTTCCAGTACCTGAAGGGACCCAAAAGGAAGAGATTATCCACAAGGGGCTGGGGTGACAG